TAACTGACTATTTTGGATTTGATGCAAATGCAGTAAAACTACTGAATAGTTATTTAAGTAACATGATGCAGAAAGTTAAAGCCGGCAACACATTTTCAGGGTTGGTGGGAAGATGTTGTGGATTACCACAGGGCTCTGTTCTAGGTCTCCTCCTCTTCCTCCTTATAAATGATATTTTCAACTCTTGCTCACATGTTCGTCTACACGCTTACGCTGACGATGTTCAATTATTTATCTCTAACCATATCAGCAAGGTTCAGGATATAACTCGTAAGCTTAATGAGGACTTCTGCTCGATTCTTGAATGGTCTGCTGAAAACCTACTCTGCCTATATGCTCAAAAATCGTATGTACTTATTACCAATATTCAAAGTTAAAATCCTACTTTCTGACATCCCTCACCTTTATACTGGAACTGCAAAGCTTCAATTGGTTGACAAATTGAGAAACCTGGGTTTTACTATAAATTCCAAGCTGACTTGTGAGGACCACAGCAATGAAGTTGTGGGAAAAATGTATTACACCTTGCGCTGCCTCAGAGTATCTTCACTTTTTGTACCCTCAGACACGAAAAAAAACTGGTCTCAAGTTTTATTGTTCCTCAAATTATGTATTTCGAAATAGTGTAGAGCAAACTAGACTCTCATTCCCTCCACAAACTCGATGTTGCATTCAACCATGCCACTAAGTATGTGTATGGCTTGAAGAAATTTACCCATTTATATATTCTTATATTTATGTTAAAATTGCTTGTTTATAAAAAGCCGGAATATCTAACTATATGATAAGCTTAAGTTTGCCAAATGCACACGCGCCTTCAATTTTATATTGCCAAAGTTTAATTATTTAAGCACTTCAAGACTTTTTTTTGTTAATGGAGTCAGACTCTGGAACTCCCTTCCATTGTCTTTAAGAAACTCGCTTTGTGAAAGCAATTTTAAAAAACTCATCTTTGATTTTCTCTTTAGTTTTCTACGTTTTATACAATTTCTGTTTGTACTCCAGTCATTACGTTTATATTACACCTTTTTTTTGTTCATTATTTCTGTTTGTACTCTAGTCACTATGTTTTTATTACACCTTTTTTTTGTTCATTTTTGCATATTCATATATTTATATTTCTATATTTGTTATTACATATATTTTTGTTACTGTATACTTTTATTTATTCTAATATTGGCATGTACTTATCTGCTCTTTGTATTGCGCAATAAAAGATTAAATCTTAATGCGCTAATGTATTTTGTTTAATTACAAGATCAACCTACAATATTATTGGTACGAATCGATCAACAAGTCACATCACTGATAAACCTCAACGTTTGTTTGCTTCCTATTGTACTCATCTTCATGCGTACATACA